CCCCGCACCCGCGCGCTCTCACTGGCTCGCGTCTCTGTGCTCGCCCCCCGCCCCCGCAGGTCTGTTCCAAAAGGCCATCATCCAGAGCGGCACGGCGCTGTCCAGCTGGGCCGTCAACTACCAGCCGGCCAAGTACACGCGSCTCCTGGCCGACAAGGTGGGCTGCAACATGCTGGACACGACGGACCTGGTGGAGTGCCTGCGCCACAAGAACCACAAGGAGCTCATCCAGCAGGCCATCACGCCGGCCACCTACCACATCGCCTTCGGCCCGGTCATCGACGGCGACGTGATCCCGGACGACCCCCAGATCCTCATGGAGCAGGGCGAGTTCCTCAACTACGACATCATGCTGGGCGTCAACCAGGGCGAGGGGCTCAAGTTCGTGGACGGCATCGTGGACAACGAGGACGGGGTCACCCCCAACGACTTCGACTTCTCCGTGTCCAACTTCGTCGACAACCTGTACGGCTACCCCGAGGGCAAGGACACGCTGCGCGAGACCATCAAGTTCATGTACACCGACTGGGCCGACAAGGAGAACCCCGAGACGCGCAGGAAGACCCTCGTGGCCCTCTTCACCGACCACCAGTGGGTGGCCCCCGCCGTGGCCACCGCCGACCTGCACGCGCAGTACGGCTCGCCCACCTACTTCTACGCCTTCTACCACCACTGCCAGAGCGAGATGAAGCCCAGCTGGGCCGACTCGGCCCACGGCGACGAGGTCCCCTACGTCTTCGGGATCCCCATGATCGGCCCCACGGAGCTCTTCAGCTGCAACTTCTCCAAGAACGACGTGATGCTCAGCGCCGTGGTCATGACCTACTGGACCAACTTCGCCAAAACCGGGTACGTGCCGCAGCCTCCTCCTCCTTGGCTTGATTGCTACTCACATCTGCACCCCCAAATCATTTCTTTTACTTGTGCAATATGATCCAAGCGTGGTAGTGCACGCCTGTCATCCTAGCAGCAGCGGAGGCTGAGGGAGGAGGATTGCAAATGGGAGGCCGCAGCCTCTACCACTTAGCGAGGCCCTGAGCCACTTACCAGGCTGAGGGAGGAGGACTGCAAATGGGAGGCCGCAGCCTCTACCACTTAGCGAGGCCCTGAGCCACTTACCAGGCTGAGGGAGGAAGATTGCAAATGGGAGGCTGCAGCCTCTACCACTTAGCGAGGCCCTGAGCCACTTACCAGACTCTGTCCCAAAGTAAAAATTTAAAAGGGCTACGGGTGTGGCTCGCTGGTTAAGCACCCCTGGATTCAACCAATCTCTGGTACTCTATTTATATTTTATTTTTTTTCTCTCTCTCTATATATTTCACTATATATTCTACCTGAGAGTGCTTGGTGCTTATTGAAAAATCCTCCAACTGGTGCTCGCTGGTGCAGGATGGGCAGATTTTGCACTATTGATTTCTGAAGGCAGAATTGCAAACCTAGTCCTGACCTGACCTCATTTGTTAAGTAAAAGGATTCTTTGAAACGTGTCAGTCACGTTGGCAACTGACCTGACCCATATTTTGGAGTCTTGTTTTCAAGGTGGAGTGAAATATTTTAAACCCAGGAACCAAGGAAATCTCGGGATAATGACAAAGGTGTATCAACATAGGTTTTCTGTATCTTTAGGTATTGAGTAGACATATGTGACTGTATGTAATTTAGRTGTCTGTTGTGTATACATGTGGGTGCCTATATATGCAYMTAYAAATATWTGYAGATGTGTGTGTGCATACACACAGACACAMACACAYATTTATACATCCATTTCTCATATAGTATGTTCATTGCAGAAAACCCTCCACAATTGGCAGATTCTGAAGACCCCCAAGTCCCTTTTATAAAATGACCCAATATTGACATGCCACCCGTCCACATTGTCTTATGCACTTTAAATATTTTCTGATGACTTATAATACTGATATGAGAATAGTTGCTATACCATGCTATTTGGGATATAATGACAGGAAATTCTGCAGAAACACAGGTTTTCTTCCAARTTATTTTTACTCGTGATTGSTTGAATCCATGGATACAGAAATCACGGACAGCCACCAAGATTTTTCTATGTCCTAAATATATAGATAGACAATAATAGATAATAAGTAGACATGCACTTGTACTTTATTCTGTTCAGTATGTATCTTTTTAACACTATAGATGCAATTCTATATTTTTATGCATAGAACACATATTCAARTTTTTATTTATAAATATATCCTGAACTGCCTACAAAAATAGGCAGAGATGTAGATATACTTTGGTATAGGTAGTACATCTTTTTTATTTTTATTTTTTGGATACCACGGATGGAACTCCAACTCAGAGCACTTTACCCTGAGCCCCCTCCCCAGCCCTATTTTGTATTTTATTTAGAGACAGGGCCTCCCTGAGTTGCTTAGGGCCTCGYTAAGTTGTTGAGGCTGGCCTCCAACTTGCTATCCTCCGGACTCGGCCTCCTCAGCCTCTTGGGTTACAGGCCTATGCCACCCTGTGCAGTTTCATCTATTATTTACTTTGTACCAAAAAGTTCTATCTCAATCCTCATTAAAAAAGCCTACTTCTTGTCTCTTACATGTTTCAAAAATCACCTTTGTGTGCCTTCCCTAAATGCAAAGCCAGAGTCGTTTATCATATGTTTAATTGACCCAGTAAAGAAGAATGAAACCCAAATAAAGCCATTAAATTCTCATTAGCTGTTCCTGCTGCCGATGTGTCTGAGGATGAGGTTGGTGCTTTCACTATTT